ACGCCCATTCTTCTCACTCTTTTGAAAAATCAATCCAACATCCATGGTGCCTTTAACATACCGTAGAATCCACTTCACGGCCTCCCAATGACCCTTCCCGGGATCGTGCATTTACCTTGATACCATGCTCATGGCCTGTGACAAATCTGGTCTTGTACACACCATCGCATACATCAAGCTATCCACTGCACTACCATATGGAACCTTCGATATGTAATCTCTACCCTCAACTGAAATAGGTGACATATTAGCTGAAAGCTTAAAGTGGAGAGCCAATGGAGTGCTAATTACTTTTGTATTACCATCAAAGCTGAATTTCTTCAACATCTTCTGCAAATAACTCCTCCGTGTAAGCTTTAATCTCCCATTCACCCTGTCTCTCTCGATCTCCATATCCAATATCTTCTTTGCTTCTCCAAGATCCTTCATCTCAAACTCGGATGACAGTTCCTTTTTTAACCTTTGAATAGCCAAAGAATTCCTGGAAGCAATAAACATATCATCAACATATAAAAGTAAATATATGTGCTCACCATCCTGTAGCTTGTGTATATAATCACATGGGTTATATGGGCTCCTCATGTACCCATGGCTAACCATGAAGCTGTCAAATCTCTTGTACCACTATCGCGACGATTGCTTCAATCCATAAAGAGACTTCTTCAGCTTGCACACCAAATTTTCCTTTCCTGTAGTTTTGAATCCCAAAGGTTGTATCATATAGATCTCCTTATTTAAATATCCATGTAGAAAGACTGTCTTAACATCCATCTGGATCAAATCCAAATCCAGTTGTGCTACTAATGCTAATAAAATTCGAATCGACAAATACTTCACAACGGGTGAAAATACCTTATTGTAATCAATGCCTTCAAGCTGTGCATATCCCTTGGTAACTAATCTAGCTTTATACCTAATATCCCCAATAGAAGATCCCTCCTTCTTCGCATATACCCACTTACAATCAATAGCTTTCTTACCCTTATGTAGCTTTGCAAGTTCCTAAGTGGCGTTCTTCTGAAGAGACCGCATCTCCTCCTCTATATCTTCCCTCCACCTGATCGAATCAGGGCTAGACTCTGCCTTTCTGAATATGGATAGAACCATATCATCAACGACCTCCACTGATAATGCATATGCGACCATGACATTATTATACCTAGCTGGCCGACGAATCACCATTCTAGGTCTATTCACTGTAATAGACTCCTGAACATGACCCTGCTCCTGAGTCTCACAAACTACTGTATCCTCTATCTGCCCGGCTATCATCCCATCTCCTCCCAGTGTCACCTCTGTAGGAGCCTCAATGGATACAATGCTATCTAGAGTGGGTGGAGTCACATCATCCTCCACCTGCTGCGATATCTCTCGAATCTGGTCTTCCTCCACTTGTAGAGGAACTTGAGTCCTCATCATGTATACCTCATCAAATGTGACATCCCTGCTAATAACTATCTTCTTATCCTATGGATCCCATAACTTGAAGCCTTTAACTCGATCTCTAAATCCCACAAAGACTGTCTTCCTCGCCCTCAGATTTAGTTTATCACCACTAACATGATAATAAGCAGGACACCCAAATATCCGAAGCGACTCATAGTCACTAGCTACGGAACCAGACCAATGCTCCAAAGGAGTCTTCATATGTATCGCAGTGCATGATAACCTATTAACAAGATGGCTCGCATAAACTAACGCCTCGGCCCAAAAGGATCTAGGTAATTCACTCTGCGTCATCATACATCGCACATTCTCCAGCAAGGTACAGTTCAATCTCTCAGCCACACTGTTCTGTTACGGTGTCTCTCGAACTGTGAAGTATCACCTAATGCCGTGATCCCGGCAAAACTATAAAAACGGATCACTCTTATACTCTCTACCATTATCTGAACGTAGAGTCTTTACCTTTCTACCCGTCTGCAGCTTCACTTTCTTCTTCCACTCCACAAAAATATCCACGACCTCATGTTTATGCTTCATGGGGTATACCCAATTCCTACTAGAATCGTCATCAATAAAAATAACAAAATAGTTGGCACCACCAAGTGATGTGTTTTTGGAAGGGCGCCAAACATCTGTGTGAACGTAATCCAATATACCTTGGGTGTTGTGAATAGCGGTGCCAAACTTTACTCTAGTCTTCTTCCCAAGTACATAATACTCACACAACTCCATCTTGTAGGTCTTAGTACCTTTCAAAAGCTCATGTTTCGCCAATGACTACAAGAATTTATCACCTGTGTGTCCTAATCTCATCTGCCATAAGATGGTAGTGTCCTCCTCTGTAGTGATAGAAGCTGTCAGACCCCCTGTAACTGTCTTACCCTTCAAATAGTATAGAAAATTTTTCCTAACTCCTCACATCATCACCATAGAACCCTTCATGATCTTCACGGTAGCATCCTCTAAGGTCACTCGATAACCAGCTGCCTCCTAAGTATCAAGAAAAATGATGTTCTTTGTCAACTGCGATACGAACCTCACTTCTTTCAACTCCCTCACCATACCGTCATGCATCTTGATCCAGACTGAACCAATAACACCAATAGAGCATACATGATCATTTCTCATAAGCACGACATCCCCTCTTTTCAGCTTCTCAAAGCTGGAGAACTAATCCCTCCTAGGGCAAATATGATATGTGGCTTCCGAATCCAACATCCACTCCGTAGAGTCGGCGTAGCAAACCAACGGTAGTGTAGGACACGAATAGCCCGAAGAATCTGAATCTTAATGCCAACACTTTTTACAACATTCACTTCTCAAGCTTGTACAGCTTTCCCATTATTCTTCCCAGCTTTATCCTCTCACTTTGGGCAGTTAATCTTCCAATGTCCACCTTCTTTACAATACCGACATTGATTTCTACCAACACTCTTAAAGGCACCTCTGTTCTTCAATTTTGAGCGGTTGACTTAGCGGTGATTTGGACTACGGCCTCGAACTACTAATACATCTCCTGATGCCTTCTCGGAGGGTTCGCCAATACTCTTCCTCAACTCATAATTCATCAAAGCTGAGATCATCTCTTTATAGCTAACAATAGTTCTTCCGTTGATCATAGTGAGAATGAACGTACCAAAATCATCCTCGGGCAACGAACACAAAAGTAGCACCGCCTTGTCTTCATCCTCAACCATGATGTCCACATTAGCCATATCTGAAAGTAGCTTTGTAAAATTATTTACATGCTCCCTAATGGAAACTCCCCTCTTCATCTTGAACTGGTAAAACCTCTTCTTCAAGTGAATCCGTTTCTTAATGCTCTTCGTAAGATACTTCTCATTGAGCGTTTCCCATATTCTCTTCGTTGACGTTTTGTTTATCATGTCATAAATAAGATCCGATGTCAAGCATGACCGAATAACTCCACAAGCCCTACTATTCATTTTCTTCCAAACCTTATCCTTCATGTCAGCAGGTTTTTCTTGTAACTTAAGAGTCTTCTTCAAATTCTGTGCATCCAATACATCCATCACCTGACATCTCCATAAACCAAAATTAATCTTACCATTGAACTTCGGAACATCAATCTTCATATAATTGATGCTCAGACTTTGTATCGCCTTCATAAGAGACGAACTTGATGTGCTTGTTTTTTCTATGTTGTCGATCTAACTCTTCAAGTAGGAATCCTTCAGCGAATCCTTCGAACAAGCCCCAAGCCAAACCTGAAGCTCTGATACCACTTGTTGTGTACGACGGGAGGTTGAAACCACACGAATAAGAACGAGATAAATCATAACTAATAAGCCAAACACAACATCATAACAAGACAAACGAATTTTACGTTGTTCGACAAATTACCTACGTTCACGGGGCAAGGAGGGGGGGGGGGGGGGTTTTAGGGGGGGGGGGGGAGTTCTTACTATTAGAAATCAAGATAGTACAAATATGGTTACAAATCTCTCAAATAAACCCTAAAACAAAGCCTCTAGATCTCTCACAAATCTCTCACAATTGGATGCAATAATCCCCTCTCAAAAACTGCTCAAAACGTCCTTGCTTAACCCTAATTAATTAGAATTAGACTTATATATCAATTCAGAAATAAAACGGGTTGAAAACCAAAACCCAGCTTAGACCCGACTTGCAGTCGACCGCAGATGGCGGTCGACCGCCGCGCCACACGCGGTCAACCGCACATCATCCAAACCTATTCCTTCGTCTTTTCCTGCAGTCTTCATCGCTGTGCTCGCCATTTCTTCACCATATTTATGTACACAAGGGTCATTTGGAAAATTGATTATCAATCTACAGTTAGCACCAAAGGAAAATAAAGAACATTGTTCTCTTGTGAAGTCATTGCTATCTTTTGTTTCTATTATTTAAGAGAGATTGTATTAGGTTTTTAAGATTTATCAAGAATTAAGTGATTGAGAGATCTCTATATTGTGTTCTTAATATTTTTTTGCACTTTCGTATCATTGATATTAGTCTATTCCTAGAGATTTGTCATAACCGCCGTGATAATTCATAGTGATATAATTCAATATTCATGACATGATAGTCTTCTAAATTGAATGTGGTGATGAAAGAAGCGGGTAAAGTTATGTGAATAATGAATGCAACGTTTTAATAAGTTTTAGGAAGCAAATAAGTCCACGTTCAAAGTAATCACATTAATGATAAGAAATTAGAACGCTAAATTTTATTGCCATTTTTTTTTATGATTTTTCATTTGAGGAAAACGGTGACACTACTGTGACATGCATGTACACAAACCAGACACAAATTAGTAACTTTTGATGATATTTTTTTTAATGAATATTATTTTAGGTTCACAGAGATATCTCTGTTTCACTTCTTTCACATCTAGATTAAAATTTCCAACCATAAAAAATTGATAGAAGTTACCGGACCTCTCTCCTATTGCTTTGTCACCATCAGGCTAGGCAGCCAGATAAATCCCACATTTTGCACGATATTAGCTTACGTTTTTTGTCCAAACTCAGTACAGAGTCAGTTGAGATGTCATGAAGAAAGCACAATAGGCGTCATAAAAAAGCTCATTACATGATTTGAAGAAATCTAAATACAACAAAATTAGCCTTCTCTTTTGAAGTACAATCAATTTGCTGGAGTGTTAGTTTACTCTAATCCCTCAGAACCCCCTCAACGCTTAAAAAAAAAAGAAAAAAAAGAAAGATACTAAAAAATATTTCATAATATATGAGCTAGATATCAGGCAATTCCAAAGAACCTTCAGACTCCATGAACACCTTCAACCAATAACTCATATCCTCCCCATTGTCATTCAACTTTTCAAGACCATCACTTAAACCAAAGTCCTTGCTATTATTCAAAGACAATGTATCTGCCCAAAAGCTCTCATCAATCTCCGGAAACCCTTCAAACGAATTCTCCTCCTTAGTAGACTCATTAATGCTATCTCTCGTAACAATTGATAAATCACTGTAAGAACTCTCAGGAGATTCTTCAGGATTTGGTTTTATCTTCTTCCTTCTCGAATTTTGAATTGTTGGATTCGTGTTCTTGACCCGCTTCTTTAAGTGCGTATGCCAAACGTTCTTGATCTCGTTGTCTGTTCTTCCTGGTAATTTTGCAGCGATTGCAGACCATCTGACAAAGGTAAACACGGTGGAAGTTTTATAAGAGATATGATTTGATATTATGAGATTTAAATATCTGATCAAGTTGCAGATAAAATACAATTAATTGGCAAGAGTTATACTCTATCTGATAGTGCTGGGCATTGTGATTAAGTTAATGTTGGTGATCAAGGGGGGATTATAATATTAGGTCCACCCTTCCCTATGAGAGATTCTTGTCAGTGTTCAAATTGAGCTTGGATTGAATGAAGGGGCAAGAGAGGAAGGAAACACAGGCAAACATGGGGTGGGGTGGGGTGGGGTGGGGTGGGGGGGTTGAAAATCACTCCAAAGTAATGAACAATTTAACTAGTTTCCTATTTAATTTACTTCTTATAAATTCAATCTCTCGTGCTTCATTCTACACATGTACTATTATTTCAAAAACATAAAATTAAATTTGAAAATTATCCAATGGTCTTTATTCACTAGATGGTGCGTTCAGATGAGAAAAATTCTTGATCATTGCATTAACTCCTGAGTCCCCATTGTTTATACTGATCAAAGTACAGCCAGTTCTTGATGTATCAACTATGTTAGAATTAATATAAAACTATAATCCTTGATCCTCACCATAACTTCGGAGTTTTGGTGTAATGGTCAGAGGAACTAAATTTAAGATGGTATCAAAGCAACCCTGCAGGTTCAAATCCCACCGGTCACAAATTAAATACGGATTTTCTAAAAATTAACACTGCTACGTGAGTTCAGGTTTCGACCCATAAAAAAGGGCGTTCGACCTGCGGGGGCAAGTTAGAATTAATATAAAACTATAATCCTTAATCCTCGCCATAACTTCGGAGTTTTGGTGTAATGGGTAGATGAACTAAATTTAAGAAACTACTTAAAGAGCAGAGATCACTATAGTTTCACATTCAGCTGAGATACATCTGTCTACCTTGAAATAACATTACCCTTCATAAATTTATTGAAATACACACATAAATTAATGATCTAAAATATTGTAAACGGATGAGAGCTCTGATTTCAATTGGGACATTTTTTTTACCTGTTGCCAAGCATTTCATGCAAGCTAATGATGGTCTCCTCTTCTTCTTTGCTAAAGTTCCCTCTCTTAATATCAGGCCTCAAATAATTAATCCACCTCAATCTGCAGCTCTTCCCGCATCTCAACAAACCTACACCAAAAACATAAACAACATCGAAACCATTAGCCTCCATGAAAGCTTTCATCAAATTGATTGATTGCCAAAAAAAGAAAGCTATAGAAAAGGAAAATATTATGTTAACAAATATATTACCAGCTTGTTTAGGGAGAGCTCTCCAATTGCCATGGCCATATCTCTGTATGTAGGAGATCAGTACCAGATCCTCTTCATGAGTCCATGGACCTTTCTTTAGGCCCATTTTCTCGCAGCAAGGAGCTCTCACCATTTTCTTCTGTTTTTGGTATTGTTTCTGTCCTGTAAATTTTCTTCTTTTAAGGGAGAGAGCTAGCGATATCCCTTGGCAATCTTGGGTTATTTATGCATATCCATCAAAGCTCAACGTGCAGAAATGTTTTAGAATAGTTGGTCAAGGCGCACGCCAGCAACTGCAGAGAAAAGGAAGTTCAATGTATTTTTAGAAAATTGTCTAGGCCCCCAAAAAATAAAGTGATTGTGACCAGGCCCCCCAAATTATTTTTTGTGTGACAAAGCCCCAAACACATGAAGTACTTGTGTTTCAGCCCTTATTACATTTTCCAAGACAACACAGTGAGATGCTATTTAAGAATACCCTAAAATACCCTCAACTCCATAGCGTTATGCTCCCCTTCTCTACTCCCAACCCCCGCCTCCGCTGTAGCAGAGCTTACCAAGCTCATCCTCTTTTTTGCCTTCATCTGCACGGAGTCCAAATCCTCTACCTCATCCAGATCTGACGCGCTCAGTGTCAACGCCAACTGTACCTGGTACTCTTCCTCAAACAAACTAAAATCGCCCCCAGTCCCCGCCGTCCCAACGGTCGCCGACGTCGTCACCAGATCCAACTTTGATCCGCTACCGGCCTCCGACACCACTCCTCTCAACGACATGGACGACGATGAGCAATGTAGGAGCGACGAGCTCATCAGTGGATCCGGTTTCCGACACCACTCAATCTTTTCTAATTAGGTACTCGTAGTTATTTGTATTTACAAATAGATTTTGTTTTCAATAATCTATTTGATCTTACACAATAAGTTGTTGTATCTCCTACTTGTTGTGCAATCTAATATTTTTGTTTAATTATTGAGGCTAGTTCTTGGTTGTTAAAATCAAAGTGACCCACTTGGGGAAGTCTTGTTAGATTTCACTTGTGAGTGTTGAGATTTACACTTGAGTTGTAGAAAGATGAGTAGGGATCATTTGAACCACCAAAATTTTCCTAGTGACTCTGCAAATTGACAATATGGTAACTCATCAATGAATATGCCATTACCCAATTCTTCTCTTCCCATGTATCAAGGGATTCAAATGGCTTCATCTTCTTCATGCCCTCAAGTTTCAATGGCTAATGTATCATAGGATTCTTCTTCGAAAGGGCTCGATGCTACAAAGAGGAAGAAAAATAGTCGGGTAGAATTTAGTTGGTTTTCTCAAGTTTCATGCTTTGTTCTACTTTCTAATTTATCTTCATATGGCAGGATATGGAACTAGACCAAGCATAAGAAAACCCAAAGGAAAATGTGGAAAATAAGCAAAGTGTTGAATGCAGGAACTCAACTCTAGCTACAGGGAAATCCAAGGAAAAGGATGCAAAGGATAGCACTGATGGAGCTAAGCAAGATTATATCCATGTGAGAGCACGTCGAGTGCAGGCAACAAATAGCCATAGTCTCGCAGAGAGAGTATGTACATATGAAGTAGATGAAAACTTGGGAAAATTCTACTATGTGTTCTTATGGTTTGGTTGTATTTGGATCAAAATTTAATGAAATGTATCGTGTCTATTTAGTGATCAATTTTGGTATAATTTCTTACGATTGTATGTTAAATGTATTAATGTGCATTATAAACTAAAGATTATATATAAATTATATGCATCAAAATCTGAATATTATGGTATATAATATGTACATAATCTTGAGGTTATTGTGTACATAATATATATATATACAGATTATGTACATAATCTTCAAGTTACGATACACTATTAAATCTCATACACTTGTATATAATCTGTACATATCATTCAGGTTATTATGATACATCAACGCAAGGGAGTCCAACCTCATGCTATGACACATATTAACTATATATTATTTACCAAATGTACATAGAATGCAGATAAATGATTGTAGCATATAGTAGGCATTCATAATTCATTGTAGCACATAATAAACATAATAAACATGTTAACTCTCCTCATAACATGTTAACTCTCCTAATAATATGTTAACTTTTCAGCTGAACATGTTAACGTTCATCATAATATATTAACTTTCATTGTTACATGTTAACTTTCATAATAATATGTTTACTTTCATTGTTACATGTTAACTGTCAGGTGAACATGTTAATTTTCATCATAATATATAAATCTGAGCATGTTAAACTTCTGCTGTATATGTTAACTTTCAGTCGAACATGTTAACGTCAACTTGAACATGTTAACTTTCACTTGAACACGTTAACTCTCAGATGAACATATTAACTTTTTGCTATATATGTTAACTTTCATTCTAAGATGTTGACTTTAACATGGACATGTTAACTTTCATTTGAAGACGATAACTCTAAGATGTTGCTACGAAAATGATAATATGCTGCTACAAAAATCCTATTGTGTACTCAAGCAATATCAACTTTGTGAATGTACGAAGTTTTATATAATGTACTTGTTTAGCTGGGGTATACTGTTTGTATTTTCTATAAAATGTCTTGGTGCTAAAACTACTTTTAGCTGGATAACTTTCAGCTTAAAAAAAATAACTTTCATTTGACTATGTTAACTTTGAGATGAACATATTGGCTTTCAACTATACACGTTGACTTTCAAATTTAGTATACTTTCAAGTGAAGATGTTAACTTTCAGCTGAATAAATTAAATTTAATTCTAAGATGTTGGCTTTAACCTGAACATGTTAACTTTCACGTGAAAACGTTAACTCTCATCTATATATGTTAACTTTTAGCTGTATATGTTAACGTTCAGGTTTATATACTAATATTCACGTGAACATGTTAACTATCAGCTGTATATATTAACTTTCATCTGCATATGTTAACTTTCTTATAAACATGTTAACTTTCAGCATAATATGTTAACTTTCTTATGAACATGCTAAGCATTTGGTACATTGCTTGTGGTTGAGTGAATTCTTTAGTAATTTGTATATAATCTTCAGGTTTTGATACACATAATTTATATATAATCTTCACTTTATTATGCATATCAAGTTCTATTTGAATGAACTTGTACATATTCACATAACAATCATAATACATTTCACATAAAATCATAATAAATTACACCAAAATTGATCACTAAATAGACACAATATATTTTATTAAATTTTGATCTAACTGCAACCAAACCACGGTTCTCTTTCCCCCCAGGTAACCTTTCATCTTATAGAACAATAAATAAAATAACAGCATCATCTTACATCAATCTCTTAGCATTACAAAAATAATCACAAACCAGTACAACTACGTGCAGATAGACCTCATCACAAATCTAAATGTAGTTTCTTTGAGCTCAGGAAAACCACCAACACTCACACACATAAGAAATTATGGAAGAAGAGAGAACTTCCACAGCCGTGCCCCATCAGGTCAATGCCAACACCGTTTCATAAGAAGCATCTAGGAACAAAATCGTTGCAGAACTTTAGATTAGACCATCCTATCCAACTGCAAGCACGACATAAAGACTCACGTGAGTAGACGCAGTTGAATCAGGATGCCACAAGGAGTCACAAGCTTTGCCAAAAGACATAGTAGCAAATGTAGCAAAAGATGAATTTGGCCCGAATTGGACATACCAGCGTGGGACAGGTAACGAGGGCAAGTTGGTGTAGTATGACCTAAACTAAAACAAAGTTGGCAAATGCCTGTAGTTGCGCAAGACCCTTGAATTCCATTAGATAAATTATCATAAGATGAATTAACTAAATGAGAAGATATAGTAGTGTTAACAATATCAAAACAGTGGGAGGATATATTACCATTAGTTGGGTTTGCCATTGAACCTCCATTTTGTTCAAGAAATGGAGTTCATATTGTTAATGTTGATTGCCATAACAATCGCTAGGCCCATCATAACTACCGCGCCCATGACCTCCGCAATAGTCACGACCATGACTACCATGCCAGTTGCAATGACCCATTTCTATGGGTCGGTCTTGACTTTGTCCTTGGGCTCGGTTTTGACCTCCAGATGTACGATCAGGCTGAGGTCGAGCGGTGACGACGTCGCAAGTGCGCTGAGTGGGAGGCCATATGTTGAGGGAGAGGGAGAAGGAGGTTGATGATGGGGATTTGGGGTTGGGGTTAGGGTTTTGGAGCTGGGGATCCTGGGGCTTGGGCTTTGAGCGTGGGAAGAGAGGCGAGAGAAAGAGGGAGAGGGAGGGGGAGGAGATTGAGAGGAGGAGGAGGAGAAAGCCACAGAGGTGGAGGAGAAGAAGAAGAAGAAGAAGGGGTATTTTTGGGAGAGAGTGAGATTAATTTATGGGAGTGTGAAAAGGGGATGAACACATTTTTGGGGGCTTTTTGGGGTTAAAGAGAAAGGGAAAAACATAGAGGGGCTGGGTCACGTCCCCTTTATTTTTTTGGGGCCTTGACATAATTTTCTCATGTATTTTATTAGGTGGGTTATTCGTTTATTGGGTAAATTATAAGAAACTTTTCATCTAAATCAAGTTTTTTCTAGAAACCCCCTCGACTAAAAAGTTTAACGAAGAAACCCCTCATTTATGTCGATTAGTGAAACAATTAATTTTCCGATAGAGTTTTGTGCTTCAGACATTTAGCAGACGTGTACACATGGATTAACAGCTACATAGACGTATGCACTTAAGAGCATATATATTTTGGAGTTAAAAAGGTAGGAAGCAAATAAAGAGAAAGTTATCTCTTGTATGAAGTAAAAGGATCGGATCTAAATATTTTATTATTAACGTACAATTATACATGAGGCATCCAGATATCCGAAATATCTGAAATGCCAAATTCTATTATTGATCACACATGGCAAATATTTTGCTGGACTTTTTAAATAAAAGAGTTTCTTAAAAAATAAAATATGAGTGGAGCGGTTTCATGTAATTTGCACTTATTTGTTTATTTTCTTTTGAAAAAATAAGTTTGAAATGAATATAAATTTGCGTGTGACTTCAAGGAGTGAATCCGCGTTAGCTTTTTGAAGTGATGGGAGACATGACATTGCTAGTGTTAGTATATAGAAATTTCTCGTGATGTACATATAATTTAAGGTTAATTAGGATGTCCTGC